AACCATTAAAACCCATTTTAGGAAACTTAAGTTCCTTGTACTATTAAGAGTACATTTAGGAAACTTAAGTTCCTCGTACTATTAAGAGTGTGTTTATAATTTACGTACTGCGTAAGAGTACGTTTATAACATAGAGTCTAATGTGGAGGCCCGGCTTATTACAGTTGTTACCGCTATATGGATTGTTATGAGAAAGGCTTGACACTACACTTAGTAGAGTTCGCAAAGAAAAAGTATAAGTCTCACCGACGTGTGCCGGAGAATGTATTCGATGTCATAACAAAGGAAATGAAAGATAAGGGCATACAATGAATAATAAAAGACACGCAGAACACGCTCATAATTACTGTCTCATGAAGGCTGTATAACCTTGGGCTATCTCTGCAAGTATATATACAGCCCTACACTACATACCTCGCTGACATGGGCTGGCACATTGGCCACCGAAAATTTGGTCGCATGGGCTGGGATATTGGCCACCGAAAATTCGGCCGAACTCATTTTATTGCAGTTTTGGATAGTTCAGTCCAATACAAATCCGGTAGTATATTTCATTTTTCCTAATTCCATTTTTTTTCGATACGTATTAGTAAAATGAAGAAAAAAAAGAGTTGGACGGCACTCTATACGCGACTGCACCATAGCGCTCACAGCGTTCATGAAGCACTAACAGCGTAACGGTGTGAGGAACACATAGTTTCCCGCGAAAATTATTGTTCAGCCGTCGGTGTGTCACGTTTAAAAAAGAAAAACAAAAGAAAAACATGGTTTTTATAGGGAATAAATATAAATAAAGGAAGCCTGAAGCTAGGCTGAAGGTAAATAGATAAAATAAATAAATAACCAGAAATTCTCGCGAACAACTTGTATAACAACTTTCTATAAATAGATTCCAGAGTCCCAACGAGTGACTGACTGTATCTATTTATTTATAAAAATAGTGTCTCCATCGGTCCGTACTCCGTCGGATGAATGACGGCTGCGACAGTCCAATTTTGATTTTTGCAAAGATAAATAGCACACAAGAAGTTAGAGGGCTATGGTATATCACACCGTAAATAATGAATATTTAATACGGAAATCACTAACAAGCACGCCAACAGTAAACACGACTCTATTGTCTCAACGACAATATCACTTGTGTAATAGATACACCTTGCGCTCAAGCCTGTACGGACGTGCACGTGATCACGTGATCGAGGTTACTTCCGTGTATCTGACAGAATGTCGAGCGGTGTTGCTCCCTACCTGGGTAGTAAGATCAGTTTGGTGTCCAAGTCGAATATCCGTTATGAGGGGGTCTTATACACCATCGATCCAGAGAAGGCAGCCGTGGCCCTTTCCACAGGTGTGTGCACCACAACGTGCGTCTATTTGTATCGTATACAAATACAAACCTATTTTTAAAGGTTATACACACGTTTTCGGTGTGAGAATGGTTTATATTGGGCGCTTGCTGTTGCTCTGGCTTCTACACCGGCAAGCCTCATCGTGCATTTAAATGTTTATCAAGTGCTGTATCTGAAACGAAGAGAAGATCCTCGCAAACTACGATATTGTCATATTGATTACGCACATACGATTTGTACCAGTGTTTTGCGGTTTGTGATGACTTGGCGTATTGCGGTCTGCTGTAAGCCACGATAATCAATGTCATATGAATTTTAGAGGCGATCGGGTTTGGTGAACATTAAGTTTCAGGATTCTTTTATCGGAGTTAGATACGCATTTCAAACTCTGCTGTTGGCACTTGAAGCGTACAATTTGTTTTTGTAAAGATGTTCCTATGTAAACAGTTTAAATACGAAATAAGACGTATACAGTTTATATACGAAATAAGACGTATACAGTTAATATACGAAATAGTAGATAAACAGTTTATGTACGAAATACTAAGGCGGTACAGTTCTTGAATTTGGAAGTTCATTGTCGGGAGTATTGTCGTATTTGTTGCATGTGCGATGTGCGAATATATTTACGCTGCACTACTAACTATCACTTCCGATATATTATTTGGAATATTGGTAGCTGCAATTGACCAAGCTGCTTGCTATATGCATTTTCGGGCGATTTGCGCCTATTTGTGAGGATCCTGCATCCACGCTTGTGGGTTATGTGTCTACTAATACCTTTCTATGCATTGTCTCGGGTGCTTCCCCTCTGAGGTGTATTTCTACGCGTCCACATCTGTTCAGGTTACATAAACATGTACACGAGCACTCATAGTATTCAAGGCACACTATTGACCACTCACATCGCCCGTATAGTTACGTGCGATTGTTGTGCGGCCTGAAGTTGTGTACTATTCTCTACCACGTGTGAATCGTCGCTCAATATTCCGTTACCTACATTGTGTCGTTGTGAGGAACGTGAATTAAATTTTACCTTTCCTTGCACCGATTTTTGCACTTACCGCATACCCAAGAGTTTACTCAATTTATGACTGCTATTGATTACCCTATATTCAGTCCAATAACCCCTCATTAAGAATACCCCGAGGCATCACTTGGCAACGAGATAGTGCCCGGCATTATCTTCATAAAAGCATCCCATTCTCACCTATGTACCTATTCACTCATACCCACTATCACCCAGTTGTATCATTTGGTACCGAGGGCCGTCGAGGCGGTGTGGACGAGGTACCACCCAGCAATGAGGTCTATTCATACATAACTTTCCGTGGAGCTGATATCAAGGATCTGCACGTGGTCGACACGCACCTGAATTACGCCCAGTCCCAAAATCAGGGCCGGGGGATGGCACCGGGTGCACCGCAACAGCAACAACAGCCGCAACCATCTGCTCCCCCAGTGTCAGCACTGCCTACCACACCCAAGCCCGCGTCTACGGATACTACTGACACTACCAGTAGTGGGGAAAAAGGGCCGGATGGCGAAGCAGGAAAGGACGAGAACACCTCTACAGACGGAAGGGTTCAGACGCCTACAGGCCCTCAAGGCATGCAACAGCAGGGTCCCTATCCGTCGCACCAGCAACCAGGACAGCCACCGTTTCAACAATACCCGAACAATGGGCCTCAGGGTCAGTACATGCAACCACAGGGGCCATATGGCATGCCACCCAACCCACAGTACGGGTATGGAGGTGGTGTAGACGCCTATGGCAATCCGATGGGACCCCCCCAGAACCAGTACTACGGAGGCGGTCCTCCGGGTGGGTGGGCACCAGGGCATGGCCCAAATCAGGGATACTACGGGTACCCTCCCATGGGTATGAACAACCAAGGGCAGTACATCCAGAATCACCATCAACACCCGCACCACGGAATGCACCCACAACAACACCAACAACAACAGCAGCAGCATCCAAACCTGTATCAGGTTCAGCAGCAACAGCAACAGCAACAGCAACCACCCAATGCGGAAGCACAGAGCGGACCGCAGCCACCACAGGACATGGAAGCAAGCAAGGAAGGTGCCATTGATGGTGAGAAGAGTGATGAAGTCAAGAAGGAGACTGCTGGAGAGAGCGGAGGATCAACTGGGGCGAGCAAGGATGAGGGTGGCAAGAAGGCGGATAAAAGTTCGGTACCCTCAAAAGCGGAAGAGAGTGGAAAGAAGGTCGCCAACAAAGATGGAGGAAAGAAGAACGTAGAGGACGTGAGGAAAGATAGTGCCCAGGTAGAGAAGCCGAAGAAACCCGCAACATTGGCGGAACGAGTGGCGGCCAATAAGAAAGACGGGGACTCCAAAAAGAAGGACGAGCCTGAGAAACCGAATGCGAAAGCCAATTTGGAGAGTGCGAAAGGAAGGGAGTCAGGCACTGCTTTCTCAGGCACCATTAGTAAGGATAAAGGTGAAGCGAATACCCAGACTTCCACGCAGAATACCCCACAGGCCAAAGCACCAACTCAAACACCAGCGCCAGCACCAGCTCAGCCACAAACTGGCAAGGCCGGCGGCAGCCTGTTACCCACACCTGGCACGGGTGGCAATAACACTCAGATCAATGGGGGCCCCCAGAAGCACACACAGGCACAAGTACAAGCCGCCAATGCCACGGCACACAACAACAAGAGCACTCGAGGTGGTACGCAGGGCAGTGGTGAACGTAGGAGGTACTCGCGCGGCGGTGCACGCCAGGTAGCGAATGCGAACACTGGAGCACCGGTACCCACTCAGAAACCCACAGACATGCCAGAGTTCGATATGCAGACCGCTAATGAGAAGTTCGACAAGGAAGAGATCGAAAAGGTGTGTGCGTTTGTACGAATCGAATGAATGGTCTGTGGCCACCAGGGCCGTGTGTGTAGAAAGTAGGGCTTCTATCTGATTGGAATCTGCATGGGCAGGTCTTGGAATATCAAATCTGACGGTCACGTATAATTTTTACGAGCCATGATACTTGTACGCAATATCTTATACTGTTATTCTTTGTGCGTGCGAGCTTAGTCCATCTTCGCTTGTGTATATCCGGATACCTCGAGGTCATAGGGAAGTGTATCCACGGAACCCAATCGATTTTCACAGAATATCATCACTCCTCTGACTATATGCAATATTTCTAATCTTTTCAAATTATAAAAAGGAATTCGAGGAGATGCACATTGGGGATGGTGCACCTACGGCCCACACCAATGATGAGGATATGGACGACGAGGGCATTTACGACAAGAAAAAGTCGTTTTTCGACAATCTTTCGAGCGATATCGTGGATCGCCAGAAAGAGCAGGAAAGCGGCGAGAGGTAAGCTAGACTGCGCTCGACATGTGCTTGTATGCGGATGTGTGGTCTTTGGACATGCATATTATAGATTTGTTTGCATAGATGTCTGAATATTTACAATGATAGTTCGTTATTAGCTGTATGTCGTAGTGTCGCGATTGGAATAATCCTCCCCATTTGTGGAGAAATTTCTCCAATCTATCTGTATATGTTCTATGCGTGTATGATAGGTGTATACTTTAAAGAGATTCACGCTTTGTTCCTTAAATACATTGTCAAAGCCATACCCTCACATGTCAATGCCACTAAACTCCACCAAACCGAACCGAACCGAACCTTAAAAACACAGCCAGACAGACATTTTACAAGGTCAACCCAACCCTTAAACACAGCCAGACAGACATTTCACAAAGGTCAACCCAACCCTTAAACACATCCAGACAGACATTGTACAAATGTCAACCCAACTCTTAAACACGGCCAGACAGACATTGCACAAAGGTCAACCCAAATTTTGACAGGCACACAGCCAGACAGACATTGTACAAAGGTCAACCCAACCCTTAAACACAGCCAGGCGGACATTGTACAAAGTCAACCCACCCTTAAACACAGCCAGACAGACATTTCTCAAATGTCAAGCCAACCCTTAAACACTGCTAGCCATCCTCCATCCTTGTCATCCCACTCAATGTCATACCACCCCGCCATTACAGAGCGCATCGCATGAGCCGAGGCGAGGAGCGTCGCATGAATGTCGACACCTTTGGCAACGAAGCAGCCAAGTTCACTACCAGCAACTACCGTGGGCGTGGTCGCGGACGGGGCGGCTACAACAACAACTACAGGGGCCGGGGAGGCCGAGGCGCGTATTCGATGTCCAACGGTATGCCTGGACGCACGCCACATCAGACAAATGATCGTAACAATAACAATGAGAATACCTTCAACAACAATGGCAGGCACCACAACAATAACGGGTACAACAACGCCGGTCAACAGGGCAATAATACGTGGCAGAAGACCCAGCAGCGAACTGAGAACGTATGTGGTTTCCATAAGTCCTTGATTATGTGTTCTCACGGGTATACTATGGCAGGTATATGCTTGCGTATGTGCATCTGTCATTAATCGTCAATTTTTTTTTGTTTTCTTGTTCCAATTTACAATGGGGGAGGGGTTGTGGGTGTGTGGGGGTTGGTTTTTGGAAATTTCTGCATTGATAAACAACTTGAGAGTAATGATAATCTACCGTCTAAAAAATATGTGAGCTTCTTGACACATATGCCTGTATGCCTGTGTGAACAATATCGGGACATAAATGTATGCACAAGTATCTACAACGACAATCGATATTGTTTAACGTTGTCAGTCGCAGCTCTATCTCAAGAGCTCAGCATGATATGACACCCGCTTACAATGTGCATTCCTTTACTATGTATCTGTGTGTGTCTGTTTCCAGGCCAATGTCCGTGTATCCAGTCCAAGTGCGTAGCGGCAGTGAAGTGAGCACTCCTGCAAGCACCGCGGTCGAGGAGTGAATGTGTGTGCCGAAACAAACAGCCTGTAATGGCAGTGAGAGTTGATTAAGTTCAGCGTGGCGTGTTCGTTTTTGAAACGCTGTAGCCGGTATTTGAACGATGTCTAACATGTCGACTACACTAAATACATATGCAGCAAAATCAGCGACCCCAGAACCATATTCAGCAGCCCACCCGGTAGATTGGTTTGGATAATCAGGAGAGCGCTACGTATCGAGGAGCTTTTGAGCGCTGCCGCTGCAGCACATTTTCAGAACAGTTCGAACAGCCAGAATGCGATGAGAATGCAGTGAGATGGGAACGGTTCTAAACGGGTCAAGGATTAGCCCAGGCCAGGGACAATTAGTGTACATATTATATCCTGGGCTATTGGCGATCGAAGTGTAGTGCAGAGGGGTTAAAACGGTGGATGGCAGGAGACAGGGATACGCACGTTACACATGCATGCACTCGCTCGCTTTTGTGTTCAGTGCAAGCATATGGAAGGCGCTTTCTTCAATGTACGCTCATTACGTTCACCATGAGAGGGAGATGGGATGTGTGTGTGTGTGTGAGTCAATACCAAGGTGTGTCAGGTTCATAGGGCTCGCGCGTAAGACATCGGCAGGTGCGAAGGTTCCGCCCGAAATCGAAGGTGAGAATTCTCAGGCATGGAAGGTGCCGGTCCTATCAATTGCGAGGCGTCAAGTGTCGTACCTCTCATCAGTTTTTGATAAGATTTAGTACATGCTTCCTTGAGGGGAGTGAAGATTCGATTAGAAATACATGCATTCAATAACAGCGAGGCGAAGTTGGACCGAACAGTTCTTGTTCAAAAGACACCTCTTGAAGTTAAAATAAAAGTGATATTTGTGTTGCATATTTGAAGAAATTTTTCCATCACCCGATTTTAACTGTTGGAGCTTTTAGCTGTTCAGGTGGTGTATTGTTCAACTAAACTATTCGTGATAGAATAGAAGACAGTATTACATGTAATTTACGAGCAACGATTATGATCGACAGAACTGGATGGTGGGCCAATCCGTATGACCTGTTTCTGAGCACGTGCACTTGCTTCAACTCAATACAAGTTTAATGCCAGCAGAAGCATAAACCTAATTCAGATGTGGGACAATTCGTTTCATGTGTCATTTCCTGAGATACATAAAATGCTAATGATGATACTATCATCAAGCGAATCGACGTGGGGAATGTCGACTGTAGCTCGACATAACAGATGATCCATTGTGTATCTGAACATGCTCCGTTCGCACGCTCTAATAGTTGTCCTTGGATGGGCCGACTGTGACGATCACACCATACCGTATCCAAAAATCGTGGGGATCTCAAGTATGCCTGACATTGATGATTGCAGTCTCATTCTTGCATTCAGGCACACCAACTACAAGATTGCAAGAAGCGGAATTGCCTTAGTATTGTTTGTGAAGAATTAATTATACCGAGATGTAGGGTTTTAGATTGTGTGCTTATGTCCATGTCATGTTTAAAACCTTTTATCTTCATTAAGTAAATAGAGACACTTGTCCTCTATACATCTATGTATAAACACATGCATATGTTTTTACATGTATATATGTGTATGATCATCAGGTACTGGAATACAACCTCTGAGACGAAAACATCTCACAGCAGAACATTGATGTAACTCGCCGGCTCCGTACAGGATATTTACTACTGGATACTCCTAATTCCTTGCGTGAACCGCGCGCAAGTGACTATGGTTTGCGTTGTTATTGGCGAATTTAGAATCACTCATCGGAAGCAAGGTCCGTATTATATCGGCACTCAGGCAGAAGTTGATCAGCCAAACCAGGGTCGGGCTTACTCCTATATCGATAGCATGGATTGGCAGGATCATACAGCACCGTCACCACTACTACAGTATATCTCACATGGTACTTGAAATGATCGGGCGGGATACTGGTTCCCCGTACTAGCAGGCTAAACGCATCGCAGACTTCCGAATACTATTGTGCTTACTTATCACAGCCAGATTTCCAACTCGGCCGCGACTCCGAAGGCCACAGTAGAGATTTGATCACAGCGCACTGACTGCAGCAGTACGATCATACCACAGCCCGCACAATACTCTCGGGTGACCTGTTGTTTGAAGCCGGGTGTCCCTTTAACGGCATGTCGAGACATCGCCAAACCCGAGCGTATCCTTCGCCGAGTATCACCACCACCGGCGGTATATAGGCCCATTTCGACACTCTAGCGAAACCCCCAGATACTACCGGCACTGTGGCACTCGCACACGTGCACTCATCCAAAAACACTGCCAGCGGCCGACAAATCGTCTTCGGATACAGCGTTCAGTGGCGTCCGCACAAACTGATCGTCTTGTGCTGAGGACCTCCGTCTGGGTCGGCCCTCCTGAGAGGCTCTGCGACTGTCTTGTGATGCTCTGCGAGAGTATACATCGTCCTGCATAAGAGGGTACAATAGATGTTAGATGTATATAACTATCAGCGTGCATACGTGATCCTGCAAAGGATGATTCCGCGTGCATGTAGCTTGAACAAGCATGGGCATAACTTTGGTTGCAGAGTGTAAATACGTCCTCCGAGGGCGTGATAGAATAGACACTATATTCTAATATCAGAAGACTGGCTACAGAGCACCTTGGCGAGTTCTACTAAGCACACAGTAACCTATTCGTCACGATTGACAAAATTGTGCAACATGCACTACATAGCGTACGAGAACCGAGCCCGCCGAGAAGCTGTTCATTACACCAAAACAAGAAAGTCTACGATGGCTAAATCAAGGTACACATTGCTGACAAAGGTATAACAACTGTGACGACGTTCTGGTACAGTTTGGTGGGAACACCAGCACAGTGTTTTGGCATACCTCGGTGTTATCCATTCGCTCATACTTGTCCAAACTGCAAACAGAGGTGAAATTGTGCGTCAAAAGGTGTATCAGTCGATCGAATTATAATTGAAGTGCAGGAGAAAGGTCCCATATTCTTACACAAGCATAATATAACATGGTATCCGAGCTGAATTTTTAATATATTGTATAATCATATACTTAAATGCGTAAATCTACAAGACACTGCTATACGACAACTATCTCACGGTACGGAAACATACCTCGGCCGCCGGATGAGGAAGGGAGTCAAGTAATTGTGGCCGAAACTGTAGAAAAATTCTTCTACTCTGTTCTTCACAATGACTTTAGTCATCTCAAATCGACCCTGAGGAGGTGATAAGTATTTCTACATTTAAAACACTCAAATCGCGAAATCAAGTCCAGCGACTCACTGGTATCCGTCATGTTTTTCGGCACTACCATCCTATGGATTTACAAACATATTCACTTCAGAAAACACTAACGCGACGCTCAGATACAATTCTACGCTATGAACGCAACCCTAGTTGGGGCCTGGTTCACGTGGATCAACTACCAGTAGATATAGCTGCGTTTAGAGTCCAGTGATACTATGCAGGGGTGGATGGAAGAGGTTTCTCGCTTATTCTAGATCGAGAAACTAATAATGTGAGGTATATAGAGGCAGCAATGCGTATGAGAAGTCCAATGTGAAGAGGTTTCTGCCGCCGGCGAGACAAATCATTGCGCAATCGTTAGCCCGAACACTCCGGAATGTTGAACACATAGACTTGAAACACAGAAAACGAATTGCACTTTATGAGTGGTGTCTACTCTAGGTGTGTAGAGAGCTCGAGATGTATATCTCGTTAGAGCACAGATAATTTAAAAAGAAACTGAACTACATAAATCTCGCCGCAACTGCAGACTCAGAATACATTTACATTGGCCGGTGAGTCATGGATGTCGGCGAATTGAAATACTATAGGCACGGACCTGGGTACAGAGCGACATCTAGTTTCTGACACTCCTACCTTTCTCTCATATGCTGATTTTACAACGAGCTATTGATGGTCTCCCCAATACCGCAGTCCTATTACCAACAAAATTCATGTATCCGTGAGAGATGAATATACATCCATACCATCACTATTGGTGCGCCCGATTCACCGTCCAGCCTTACGGAATCGCTCGGAATGTCAGACATGTCCACTTCCATGTCATCTAGAGCCTCGTCGGTGCCCATCTCACCATATTTTTCCATCGGAAATTCATCCATTGGGAACCCATCGCCTGTCAATGATACTTCCGCATCTAACACCGTGTCTGCTGCCTTTCTTGACTCTGATGTCACCTAGAGTATCGGGCGCGGACTATGCGTGAGTATCGGCGGGATTAATGACTAGGTTGTCCAGGAAAAAGATGTTCAGTGGTATGCCTTACCCGCCGCAACAATGTTCAGCACATTCATATAGCGGCCAAAAGAATGCTGTTAGCACGTTTGAGATGCTGGAATGTATAATAAACGCTTCCAGTCCATTTGTAACACTGAATGTGACGACGTCTTGCACATCTGTGAACCCCTTTTCACTCTAAAACCCAGAAGCCCTAATATAAGTTATACTCTGCCTAAGTCACGACTTTTGTTGCAGCCTGGCTTAGCCATGGAACAGCGATAGTATAAGAATTTAGCAGCACCAGGCTTTGTGAGAAAGTGAAGTGGGGCGTATATATTGCACAGTCGTTCTTGGTGAGTGTAACATGGCACCACGCACAAAACAAACAGAAGTGGCATGGTGTCTGTATTGCCAAGCCAACAAATAGAACGGCAACAAATACAGCAGCAACATTAGAATGACCCTGATATATACATCCAGATGTGCAAATATTCGGACGATCGCATTTGTGGGCGTGGACAGCGAACACGAACACAAACACATTTGTCAACGTTCCGTTCTGTCCCAATACAAAACTCAACAGAGCCCAAAATTAAACCCCACGCGTCACGAGTGAATCATCGAATGGACGTATAGTTGAGGCCATTTGCAATAGAATTGATATACCGGGGTTCTTACTAGTGTAGGATAAAAAGGCGTACCTGTAGATATTCCGCTACTGGGATAGCCAGGCTGCCGCAGACATACACGGTTGTGATAACGATGAAGAGTGTGGTGGCCAGGATGACTCTACTTTCTAGAAAATCAAATGAAAATCAAAACGCAACAAATTGTGTCAGAGGCTTCAACTGCCACGCTTAAACCTTCAAATTGGCGACCCAAATCTAGATCAGTTATACGGAAGCCCTTTGGACGAGTCCAATACAAATCGAGATCACGTACAAAATATCCAAACAATGAACAAGGGTATATATATAATATATATATAAAATATACATATACTTATATATACAAACATATATATATATATATATATATATATATATACATACATATCTATACTATATATACATACATATTATATACATATATATAGTACTATATATAGTAATTATTATATATATATATATATATTCATATACGTTAAACTACACGTGCGTGTGCGAATATCTATAACTAGTATGTTTTTACGTATAGAACAGAGTATAAACGTTTACGGTTTTTCTTCTTCTCGCAATATGGTTGGCCATTTAGTTGTACGTTACGTGAGGTCTTCCCACCTCTTGTTTCCGAATTTTCGATTGCGAGTGCGAAAGCTACGGCTCCCCGCAGGCCTGAGAACCACATCATAGTCTGCAAGTATAGGTTGTTAATTGTGTGAGACAACTACAGATGGGCGCATCATAGTAAGAACTATCTGAGAGAGGAACATACACCTCCGGGCCAATAAACCCTGAGAACCCGAACATGAATCGGTTATGGATTGTTTGGGTCTGCTTGCACTCGTGTTTTTTCCAGTTGAGCCCCAGAAGAATAGTCAAGTACGAAGAAATACAAGCGACTTTTAGATACAGCTTTATTGACGGGATGTGATATAATTTGCAGAGTACTGACGAAGTGCAGGTTAGCAAGTGAAAAAAAAAAACAGTCAAATACATAAATAAAAATATATATGTATCTGTATATGAATATAAATGTATACATGTGTGTATCCGGCTTATTATGTTTCATAAACATTTACATTGGGACATACTAGTGGAGAAGAGCAAAACTGAATATAAACTGTAGAAAAGAATGAACCACAAAATGTGAATGAAAATGGAAATCGAGACGTACCTGTTGTCTAAAAGGGATCTGATTCCTCTCGGCTCGGACGGCATTGAGGATAAAACTCATTGAAAAGACTGTGCGGAATATGGGTCAAATACTAATCAATCGAAGCGCATCGGATTTTACTGCGCTTTCCCATTGAAAAACCATAAACCCTAAAAATACCACATAACCAGTTTAGAGTATTCACGTATACAGATTGGGCCTTCATACCACGTCTGAGATACAAACAATAAACACATAATAATAATTGAAGCCGAATGTATCACTTACTACCCTCGGCACACCAGCAACTGAGGGAGCGTATCATATCGGAAATAAAACTGAACTACAGCTTCATATATGAAGATTAAGTCTATACACAGATAGTTCTACACAAAGTAAAATTTATCACACATACTTGCGGTTGCACCGACCTGCGCCACAACCCAATAGACGGATCAACTCTGCCTACCCAGACACCATCAACTTAACAACATCTCACACACACCTCCAACCGCTCGGCCAGCCAAGCAATTGAACAGGCCCAGGAACATGGACGAAACTTCCCACTCCAGCCCCGGATAGGTGAAGATGGACACCCCCAGATACCCAAAAATAAAGTTCTCGGCGAAGAAGCTGAACATGCCCAGCACCCCCTCGATGAGTTCTTTACCCTGATGCGAGACATTGTAGATGGTGTAGTGACCCTGCACAATGCCACAGGTGAGGATAGTGACTATGCCGGAGAGATGTGACACCTCTGCTATGAGGTAGGACATGTAGCTCAGCAGCAGTAGGAGACAGGTTTCCATCACCGGATCGTCTGTAACGGGGATGTGCTTGGTCAACAAGGAGCAGAAGACGGCCACGCCCACACCTGGAGAATGAGGCGAAGAGAAGGGTCGGTATGAATGCAGTTTGATATCATCTCGGTCAGAGTTTTTGTCTGAATAATATGGATATACAAATGTATATGAAAACCCATGAAGATCAATCGATATCATCAGTATTGTAGTGTTAAAGCGTAGTATACGGGAAGACACGCAGAATGTAGAAACAGTGCACACGGATACTAGTGTTCCTCAACGGTTCAATGAATGACGTATCACGCGAGTTATTTATAGGCCTAAAATGTTCATATTTTGTATATAGAAACCTTTGGGCCATACGGATATGGACATTGGCATACAATACACCTTCCTATTGTACTTTTGAGGATGCTGAGATGTTTTAGTAGTAGATACACAAATAATTACAAAGCACTAAGCGAATATCTCAATTAGATGAAAGAAAGTCATCACCACCATCACTCACGAGTGAGCACAATCCAACAACATAGAATCGCATGATGGGACCATTCAACGTGTGGGTAGATACCGTTTTACGACAAGAACGAAGGAATTAATCAACCACAACTGCTTCCCCGCCAAAGCGTCCTATTTGTATGAACTTGCCCTGAAGTACCTACGGCGCTCACTTGATTCGGATGCTGCAGCACACTTGCAATACACACGGGGGGATAGGCAGATACATACCCAAGAGAATAGAAAGGAAGAACACCCCTACACTGGTGCCTACAGCGTCCTGCAATCCAGTATACGACTCCACCACATTAAACAACGTGATAGCTATGGCATCGTTCAACGCACTCTCGCCGAACACCAGAGCGTAGAGCGATGGTTCCACATCGATCTCCTTGAAAATAGCCAAGACCGTCACTGTATCTGTTGCCGAGATCTGCGCGTGTCCGCGATATATAGAACTGCATGAGTATGTGTGGTGCTCAGGCACAATCGCACTTTATAGTATGAATCCTAACGGGTTGGGGCTGATAAAACAATCAAGGTAAGAGTATAATAGATTATATGACTCAACATGCACGCCCTTGTCCACGGGAGCCAAGGCGAGGGAATTGCGATACACATCGGATCGTTGGCGAGGGATATAGAAGGTGGTGCTCGCACTATCACTCAGATTGGTGTTGTGATCTATTCATTAATTATGAGGTGATAACTCAAACGATCTCCAAGTATTAGGAATAGATACATGGAAGTGGACACGCTCGGATTACTTCAACAAAGTTAAGGCCGACAAATAATAGGAAAGGTACCACAGACGACTAATGAATCGGCTACACCAACAAATCAGACTGCAGAGCCCGCATCGCAATCAGCCGGATACAAACGGCACCTACCAGCGCCCCGAATAGCAGTGACTCTTTGAGTGTCAGTGTGGTCACAAACGGGAGAAACGAAGTCACCCACTGCAGCAAACCAGTGGTGATCGCAGTCAGGGCTGTCCCGAAGAACGAGAAAGTTAAGATAGGCCCAATATACCTTAAGGACAGGGGGTGTGTGGGGGGGGAAGGGATACGGAGAGGAATGTAAACGATAGGATTGGGAAATTTTACAGGTGAATTGTATATGAAACTAGGACAGATTGGGTCCAATATGTTCCCCAGGACAGCCAAAAGCAGTATGGCAGGGAAGGTAAGAAATAGGATTGAGGATTTTTACAGGTGAGCTGGAAACAAATCTTAGTACCATGCCAATCACCCATTTTGAGGCTGAGCCAAGAATGACCAGTTCTCGATCTCCCGATTCAATTTGTGCTTGTTCACGAAGTCTGCACTACCGTTTCGGAAAATGATCGACTCACCGAGTCACTTCAGATCTATAAACTTGGCCCATCATGAGAGTAATATAGGCCACTATTCTACCTACGTCTGTGTGTTTGAGAGTAATATAGGCCACTATTCTACCTACGTCTCTGTGGTTGAGAGTAATATAGGCCACTATTTTACCTACGTTCGTGTGTTTGAGAGTAATATAGGCCACTATTCTACCTACGTCTGTGGGTTTGAGAGTAATATAGGCCACTACTCTACCTACGTCTGTGTGTTTGAGAGTAATATAGGCCACTATTCTACCTACGTCTGTGTGTTTGAGAGTAATATAGGCCACTATTCTACCTACGTTTGTGTGTTTGAGAGTAATATAGGCCACTATTCTACCTACGTCTGTGTGTTTGAGAGTAATATAGGCCACTACTCTACCTACGTCTGTGTGTTTGAGAGTAATATAGGCTACTATTCTACCTACGTCTGTGTGTTTGAGAGTAATATAGGCCACTATTCTACCTACGTCTGTGTGTTTGAGAGTAATATAGGCCACTATTCTACCTACGTCTGTGTGTTTGAGAGTAGTATCGGCCACTATTCTACCTACGTCTGTGTGTTTGAGATTAATATAGGCCACTACTCTACCTACGTCTGAGTGTTATCACTCTTCAGTGCATACACTCCATTGTCAAGGAACGCTACAGTGTTGACCGAGAGTGTGCAATGGATGAGTCCTCACTTGTTGGGTACACCTGCAGTAGTAGCTGAGGCAATTGGGCATACCTGAAGAACAGGAAGGAATCCATTGTCATACCCGCGTGTAGCAGAATCGGCGGAAGCAGTACATAGAAGAACACCTCAGGGTCAAAGGTAACCAGTCCCTCCAATTCATCTGGGACCAGGTAGATAATGAGACCCACCAGCATGCCGTAGAGGATGGCAAGACCGGAAACCTGGACATACTTGAACCTGCGCCAAGAGGGTGAGTGCGAACAAATGCAGATTGGTGAGTCTGTGTTGGCAATGGCACCCTTAATTATAATTGAGAATGGTGACACAAATGTTTATTTGGATGATCAAATATATAATAGCGTGTGTATATACTAGTGTGTGTATTTACTACATATAATAATACGTATATTTACCTACATATATTAGTGTGTGTATATACCTACAAATATTTGTGTGTGTATTTACCAGCATGTACATATACGAGTCCATGCTGGTTCTGCGTCTAAAGGCAGTATAAACAATGGAACACGGCCATGTGCGTTATTTGTCCTGATAACCGGCCGACTTTAATTGTTGGTCAGTAGATATACGAAGGTAGCCACAATGTTCGTACATCAACACACTGGCGAGAATGGTGGTCAATGCAATAGAAAACCCAACCTACCACCACATAAAGTAATAAAAAGCAGACATGCTGAATGTTGGAATTGCGCAGGTTTGTATAATTTCCTAAAAACTGCGGGATGCCTCCAGAGACAGACAGAAAACTACGAATGTAAGCATATTAATTTTTAAACGGCACAGAGTTGTAAATACATGCAATATACCGAAATATAAAACACGAACTTAAAACATTGTATCTCTGTTGTATCCAAGTGAATACGTAAATCGATTTGATAGTCAGAAATAAATACGTACGGTAGTGTAACAACAAGAAAGTGAAACCAGAATAGACTATTGTATATATATATATATATATATATATACATGTACAAAAGTATCACATCTAACCCTTCATCCACATCTACATCAGCAGATACATAATAACAATTATAAAAACATAAACATACACATATATAAATATACATATATATATATAAATATATAAATACAAATATAAATATAAATATGTATATATATATACATATAAATATACATCCATAAATATATGAATATATAAATATATACATATACAAACATATATATATATATATATATATATAAATATATGTAAATTAATATATACATACATATATATTCGCATGTATACATACGCACACAGACACAGACACAGACACAGACACACACGCACACACACACATATATACGTGCATAAATATACATAGGCATAAGCATAAACACACAAACACAAACACAAATATATATATATGTATATAGCAATAAATAATAATATATATATTAATATATATATATATATATACAAATACGAATATACTATATAACTATATACATACATACATACATACATACACACACACACACACACATATATATATATATATCTATAAACATACATACATACATACAAACATACATATATATACATATAGATTAATATATATATATATATATATATTCGCACAAACACACGCACACAAAAACAAAACATACACAAACATACGGATATGTATCTATATATATATATATTGATATATATACATATGTTGATATAAATATATAAATATATATAAATGTACATATATATATATATATGTACATATATATATATAGTGATATATATACATATATATATATATATATATGTTTATTATATATATATACAAATGTATATATATGGAGCACACATACACACACACACAGAAAACACACACACACATATATATACATATGTATATATATATATATAATCAATATATATATGTATATAAT